TCAACACTAAGTCTTACATTTTTATCTAATTCATCTATTGTTTCACGATCAAATCGATTCACTTGTCTATAAACCGCACGTAAATTCAACTGTATCGTTTTATGGGCAAACACTATCAAATGTGAAAGCAATAATATTGCAGAAGCTTTAGTGGTCAACTTTAGTGCAAAATGGTTCATCACTCAAGGTTATTCAGTGTTCATTGTATAAATGAACTCTGTGTTGATTTGTAAAATACCTGAAGACACATGCACTAATAACCTGAAGCTCAGCAAAATTATTGATACTATTCAGACAATATGCCATGCTAATATGCAATTCTCCCACTGATATAGAGAAGCAAACCAAGTTGCTGACTTCCTAGCTAAATCAGCTATTAGTCAGGACAAGACTCTACATTCTCTTCTTTTTTCGATGATTCCCAGAGGGGCAAAAGGCCCTTTTCAGTTTGATGAGTGGCAAATGCAAATCTCTAAGAATCATACATGACAAGGCTAACTTTAAAGTACCAACAAGAGTTTTGGTGGAGTGGTAAGTAATCCTTCATCCTTAACCAGAGGTCTCGAGTTCGAGCCCCTGGGTATGGAATCGCCTTTGTTAGGGAGCGCTTTACCCCCCAATGTGGGACTTTCCGGCGCGAATCCGGATTTAGTCGGGCCCTAATATGGATACCGGACACCGGATGGGAAACAAAAAAAAAAGGCTAACTTTAAAGTGAGTTAAAAGTATAGGTGATAGATAAAGGTGATTGCACTTTTTTTGTAATTAGGGGGCTTTCTCTCTGGTCACCTGTATCATAATTTTGGAACATAAGTTGTGTGTTCGTCTTTTTCTTGTATTATATGAAAGAAAAAATACAAGTATACGATTTGCATTTTACCCGTCACTCAAGTGAATATATGTGCCACTTCTTCTTTGGTAGGTTTAGCGAGGAAAACGTTTTCGCGAAAAGGTTTTACCTTAATGTAAGGAAATTATTTCTAATTCATTTATCAGCATTTTGATTAGGTATATGCTAATGCTAAATACACGATACATGATAAATAAGAAGGCAGTGTTTACATTTTTCTTGTTAAATTAAGATTGGCAACAATGTCGAAAAGTTGACTCAAATCAGCGTTATATGTAAGAGTTTGATATTCTTAAGGAAAGTTATTTCGTTCCACACTTGAGGGAAATTATTTGAACGAAAGTCATTGTGATTATCGTTAGCTTATGCTACTAGCTAGTTAATAATTTCCGAAGGTTTTCAATTGAATATCGAGAACCCTTATGTAGAAACTAGTGGTTGCTTTTGTTGTTGATTCTTTGACTTTTTATTCCCTTAAAATGATGTTGGACACTTGTGGTCATATACTAATATTCTAGAGTTTTGAAAATTATGTGTACAGATTTGTATAGTAGTCTAAATTGGAACTACTACTACTACTACCAAATTGTACGTATACAAAATGTGTTTCTAGGATCAAATATATTAAGCTAGCGTTTGGCCATAGATTTTTAAATTTATTTTGGAAAATCTGATTTGGGTGAAGTTAGAAGATGAAAATGTGTTTGGACATCAGTTTTCAAAACATATTTCACTTTTTTTTTGTTGAAAATACATGAAACATGACTTATATCCACTAGTTTTAAAAACTATCACAAATACCCAAAGTACCTTCATCAATAACATTCATTATATTATTGCAAACAATAGTCCTGAACATAAATAAATTTGGTACAAAATTATCATTTTTATAATGAACTACATAATACACTATTAGAAGACCGAGAAGATGAAGCAGCATTGTTACAAAATAATAAATGGTGGGCTCTTTTATAAAATACAAAAGTTTGGGGCAATTTTTAAAAAATGTAATAGTAATATTTTGGGTCAAAACCAACTCTTGAGCTGGTTTTGGAATTTGGGTTTTGGGAATTTGCCAAAATATGAATAAAATTTATGAACAGACATGTATTTGCCAAAAAAAGTTCAAATATATTTTGGCAAAATCTATGGCCAAACGTGTCCTAAATACGTGGCTAAAGTTTGGAGGTCTTGTGATTATCGTTACCAATTAGGTGTCTTCTTTGTAGATAGACGGCCAACCAAAAAGGAACTTCCAAAAGATGCCACAAGTCATATGTGTTCTACCAACAATTATTTATTAGAAAAGCTTTCTTGATTCTTAACGCCGGATTGGGAAGAATAACAAATGCAGCATTTTCCCAATTACATGCAAGACATTACAGTAAATACATATCGTCATCAAATCGATATATACATATATGACGAATATGTTTGGCATATAAATTTTTATTATTTACTTATAATTAAATAATATGTATGTTCATCTTAATTTGTCTTTTAAAGTTGAATTGCTTGGATGTTTTAAATAATGGGTGCGGTTAATTAAATATTTTTCCAATTGCACATACATAAAGTGATAGAACAGTATAAAATGTATGTTTGCTTGTGTGTACGCGTGTGTTTTTCTTTTTCTTTCTTTTTGGTTGTTGTGCTTTTTCCCCTTGTTCCCTCATTCTTTTACATAATGTTTTATTGAGAAAGAGATAGAATTACCAGCAGCAGAAACACTGCTAAAATACCAAAAGTTGCAAGAGAATCACTTGTGCCTTTTTTCCACTCTAATTTTTGTTTTTAATCTCGCTTGTAAATTCTCTCTACTATTGTTCGTTCTCTATTTGAAAATAATAAAAAAGGAGAAATTAGTTGTAACTCCCAAAATATTTCAGTTAATGGTAGCTAGCATTCATAAATCATAGTCCATATGATCTCTTATTATTCCACGAAGAGATTTTTACCTATGTGTATTACATAATTAGAAACTTATTTACCTTCACTGTTTAGGTTTTAACTCAATTACAAATTGGTATACAATATACCAATACAAATTAATATTAATGAATATTCCTTTATATTATGAATTGAATAGGGAATATCATTTATTTCTTCTTCCACTCCCTTTCTCTCCCCCCCCCCCCCCCCCCC